CAGGTTGGCAGGCACGGGGGTGGGGGGAGGATCTGTGTTTGGAAATTAGGGGGGGCCCCCAACTTTGACAGGAGAGGGGTGACCTGGGGGGAGAAGGGAAATATGATCCATGCCCACCCATCCTGGGGCAGGCCAGGACCCTCTGTGGGTGGGTGGGGGGCAACCAAATCCCTCGAATCCCTCGTGCCCATGGCTCCTGCCAGTCTGTGGGCATAGGGGGGTGCCACAGCCCCCACACTGGGGTGACACCAGTGGGGTCCTTGATACCCATCTCTCTCTCTCCTTGGGGGCCAGTCCAAGGCTCGCGGCCGGGGAAGAACGTGCAGCTGACGGAGAACGAGATCCGAGGGCTCTGCCTCAAGTCACGGGAGATCTTCCTCAGCCAGCCCATCCTCCTGGAGCTGGAAGCACCCCTCAAGATCTGCGGTGAGGGCTGGATGGGTGCCACACCACCCGGGCAACCCGGGCACAGGCTGGGCAAGCCCCCAGGGCCAGCTGGGCATCCTAGTGCATCCCATGGATGGGCAGCACTGGGGCGTGCTGCTGTGGGGTGTTTTGGGGAGCTGGGGTGCCTACAATGCCTACAAGTATCTCAAGGGAGGGTTGAAGGAGGAGGGAGCCAGACTCTTTTCAGTGGTTCCCAGTGAGAGGACGAGGGGCAACGGGCACAAGTTGGAACAGAAGAGGTTCCACTCAAATATGAGGAGAAACTTCTTCACGGTGAGGGTGCCAGAGCCCTGGAACAGGCTGCCCAGGGAGGGTGTGGAGTCCCCTTCTTTGGAGATCTTCAAGCCCCTCCTGGATGCTCCTGAGTAACATGCTCTAGCTCTAGGCAATCCTGCTTCAGCAGGGGAGTTGGACTAGATGATCCCTATGGTCCCTTCCAACTCTTAAAATTCAGGGTTCTACAAACAACCCTGTGTGACTCCCCCTTAGGTGACATCCACGGGCAGTACTACGACCTGCTGAGGCTTTTTGAGTACGGGGGCTTCCCCCCTGAGAGCAACTACCTGTTCCTGGGCGACTACGTGGACCGGGGCAAGCAGTCCCTGGAGACCATTTGTCTTCTCTTGGCCTACAAGATCAAGTATCCCGAGAACTTCTTCCTGCTGCGCGGCAACCACGAGTGCGCCAGCATCAACCGCATCTACGGCTTCTACGACGAGTGTGAGTCCTGTCCCCCCTCTGCTGTCCTGCACCCACCCCATCTACAGCTGCTGTGACTGGCTGGGGGGTTCCTCCTGCCACCCCCGTTGTCCCCCTGCCACCCCTTTGCCATCCACGTACCCACAACCGACCTGTACCACCCCAGTGTTGCCAGCACCATCCACATGGAGTGTCCCTGTACCCTTCTTTTTAGCCACAGTGACACAGTGTCACGCCATGGCGTTGTCCCCATGCAGCCAGAGCTCTGGTGGGTCTCTGGGGGGCTCACGGGGAGCCCCACGTGCCCCTGTAACCCCCCCATCCTCCCCAAAAGCACCCACACCCACTGCCTTTTGCAGGCAAGCGGCGATACAACATCAAGCTCTGGAAGACGTTCACCGACTGCTTCAACTGTTTGCCCATCGCCGCTATCGTGGATGAGAAGATCTTCTGCTGCCATGGAGGTGGGCACAACCCTGCTCGGGGCTTTGGGGGAGCTGGAAGAGGGGGACAGGAGCTCTGTGATGATGTTTTGGGGGTTCCCTGAGGGGACAGAGGCTTTGGGGGGCTGGGAGGGAGGGACAGGAGCCCTGTGATGATGTTTTGGGGGTGCCCCGTGGAGAATAGGGACTTTGAGGGGCTGGAAGGGCGGGACAGGAGCTCTGTGATGATGTTTTGGGGGTTCCCTGAGGGGACAGAGGCTTTGGGGGGCTGGGAGGGAGGGACAGGAGCCCTGTGATGATGTTTTGGGGGTGCCCCGTGGAGAATAGGGACTTTGAGGGGCTGGAAGGGCGGGACAGGAGCTCTGTGATGATGTTTTGGGGGTGCCCTGAGGGGAATAGGGACTTTGTGGGGGCTGGGAGGACGGGACAGGAGCTCTGTGATGATGCTTTGGGGGTTCCCTGAGGGGACAGAGGCTTCGGGGGGCTGGAAGGGCGGGACAGGAGCTCTGTGATGATCCTTTAGGGGTGCCCCGAGGGGAGTAGGGACTTTGGGGGGCTGGAAGGGAGGGACAGGAGCCCTATGATGATGCTTTGGGGGTGTTGATGCTTTGGGGGTTCCCTGAGGGGACAGAGGCTTCGGGGGGCTGGAAGGGGAGGACAGGAGCTCTGATGATGCTTTGGGGGTGCCCCAGGGGGACAGGGTCTTTGGGGGGGCTGGAAGGGAGGGACAGGAGCCCTATGATGATGCTTTGGGGGTGTTCCGAGGGGAATAGGGACTTTGGGGGGTGCTGGGAGGACAGAAGCTCTGTGATGCTGCTTTAGGGGTGCCCACAGGGGACAGGGGCTGTTGCTGAAGAGGCAGTGCCTGACGTAGCCCCCCCTCTTCCCCCAGGGCTGTCTCCCGACCTGCAGTCGATGGAGCAGATCCGGCGGATCATGCGCCCCACGGACGTGCCGGATCAGGGCCTGCTCTGCGACCTGCTCTGGTCCGACCCCGACAAGGACGTGCAGGGATGGGGGGAGAACGACCGCGGCGTCTCCTTCACCTTCGGGGCCGAGGTGGTGGCCAAGTTCCTGCACAAGCACGACCTGGATCTCATCTGCCGGGCGCACCAGGTACTGCTGGGGGGGTCAATTTGGGTTCCCGGGGGGTATCCGCTATGGGGCAGAGGTTTCTACCCCTAATATTTGCCCCTCGAGGGCAGTATTTGCTCGTGGGGCTGCCAGATGGGGTTCCTGGTGAGGTATTTGCCCCCAGAGGGGAATGTTTAACCTTGGGGGCGTTGAGGGAGCTTGTTGGGACCGTGTGGGCAGGACCCCTGGGGGTATTTGCCCTGGGGGTGGGTATATTTGCCCCAAGTGGTGGCTAGTTGCCCCAGGGGGTGGGTATATTCGCCCCAAGTGGTGGCTGTTTGCCCCAGGGGTGGGTATATTTGCCCCAAGTGGTGGCTGTTTGCCCCAGGGGTGGGTATATTTGCCTTGGGCAGTGGGTATATTCTCCCCAGAGGATGGGTATTTGCCCCGGGGGTGGGTATATTTGCCCCAAGTGGTGGGTATTTGCCCCGGGGGTGGGTATATTTGCCCCAAGAGCTGGCTATTTGCCCCAGGGGGTGGGTGTATTCACCCTGAGTGATGGGTATTTGCCCCAGGGGTGGGTATATTTGCCCTGGAAGGTAGGTATTCTCCCCAGGGGTGGGTATATTTGCCTTGGGCAATGGGTATATTCTCCCCAGAGGGTGGGTATTTGCCCCAGGGGTGGGTATATTTGCCCCAAGTGCTAGCTATTTGCCCCGGGGGTGGGTATATTCTCCCCAGAGGATGGGTATTTGCTCCAGGGGTGGGTATATTTGCCCCAAGTGGTGGCTATTTGCCCCAGGGGGTGGGTATATTCACCCCGAGTGATGGGTATTCACCCCAGGGGTGGGTATATTTGCCCTGGAAGGTAGGTATTCTCCCCAGGGGTGGGTATATTTGCCTTGGGCAATGGGTATATTCTCCCCAGAGGGTGGGTATTTGCCCCAGGGGTGGGTATATTTGCCCCAAGTGCTAGCTATTTGCCCCGGGGGTGGGTATATTCTCCCCAGAGGATGGGTATTTGCTCCAGGGGTGGGTATATTTGCCCCAAGTGGTGGCTATTTGCCCCAGGGGGTGGGTATATTCACCCCGAGTGATGGGTATTCACCCCAGGGGTGGGTATATTTGCCCTGGAAGGTGGGTATACACCCCAGGTGGTTGGTATATTTGCCCCGGGTGATGGCTATCTGCCCCAGGGGGTGAGTATTTGCCCCAGGGGGTGGGTATATTCACCCTGGGGTGAGTATATTTGCCCTGGACAGTGGGTATATTCTCACCAGGGGATGGGTATTCACCCCGAGTGATAGGTATTTACCCCAGGGGTGGGTATATTTGCCCTGGAAGATGGGTATTCACCCCAGGTGGTTGGTATATTTGCCCCGGGTGGTGGGTATTTGCCCCAGGAGGTGGGTATATTCACCCTGGGGTGAGTATATTTGCCCTGGATGGTGGGTATATTCTCACCAGGGGGTGGGTATTTGCCCCAGGGGGTGGGTATATTCACCCCGAGTGATGGGTATTTGCCCCAAGAGCTGGCTCTTTGCCCCAGGGGGTGGGTATATTCACCCCGAGTGATGGGTATTCACCCCAGGGGTGGGTATATTTGCCCTGGAAGGTGGGTATATACCCCAGGTGGTTGGTATATTAGCCCTGGGTGGTGGCTATCTGCCCCAGGGGGTGAGTATTTGCCCCAGGGGGTGGGTATATTCACCCTGGGGTGAGTATATTTGCCCTGGACAGTGGGTATATTCTCACCAGGGGATGGGTATTCACCCCGAGTGATAGGTATTTACCCCAGGGGTGGGTATATTTGCCCTGGAAGATGGGTATTCACCCCAGGTGGTTGGTATATTTGCCCCGGGTGGTGGGTATTTGCCCCAGGAGGTGGGTATATTCACCCTGGGGTGAGTATATTTGCCCTGGATGGTGGGTATATTCTCACCAGGGGGTGGGTATTTGCCCCAGGGGGTGGGTATATTCACCCCGAGTGATGGGTATTTGCCCCAAGTGCTGGCTATTTGCCCCAGGGGGTGGGTATATTCACCCCGAGTGATGGGTATTCACCCCAGGGGTGGGTATATTTGCCCTGGAAGGTGGGTATACACCCCAGGTGGTTGGTATATTTGCCCCGGGTGATGGCTATCTGCCCCAGGGGGTGAGTATTTGCCCCGGGGGGTGCCCATGGCTCAGTGCCACCCCCGATGCCCGTGCAGGTAGTGGAAGATGGCTACGAGTTCTTCGCCAAGCGCCAGCTCGTCACCCTTTTCTCGGCGCCTAATTACTGCGGGGAGTTCGACAACGCGGGCGCCATGATGAGCGTGGACGAAACGCTCATGTGTTCATTTCAGGTGGGCTTGGGCTGGGGCTGGGGCTGGGGGGGGACACAAAACACTGCCACCAGGGTGGGGGGGCACCCCTGCGGTGACCACAGGCGGATGGAGGTGGGGCTGTGGGGATGGGGGAAGCTGGTACATGCAGGGATGTGGGGAAAGAAAGAGAGTGGG